GGGGGTGAATGCCTCCTATCTAGTAAATCGTCGTTGGCGAATTCCTGCCCTGTTTGTGGTTTCGTTCTTTCGTTCATTACAATACCGCCGGATGAAAATACGGCCGGGGAAGGAAGGCAGGAAGGAAGAAAGGTAGGAAGGGAAACGTTGCTCCGAAAATACGCACTTCGGGAACGCATCAAAGGCACAGCCGGACGTGCATATTCACTCGCCTACGTTAATTTGATTGTTCTGTTTATTTCTCGTAAATGAAATTAAAATAGCTCGACTTCCCGGGGCAGGGAGTTTCGGCGACAGCGAACCGGGCAAAGAGAAACAGTGGGGCGGGTGGCGGGCGAGAGAACAGGGAGCGAGCGAGAGGGAAGTGAAAAAGAGAAAGGTGAACGCCAGGGCGGTGGAAGCTTATTGCGACTCCACCTTTTTAATTAAAGTTTGAAACTGAACTAGCGCATGCAAGAGGGTTCCGTGGCCCCGAGCGAAGAGAAGTACGGCACATAAAATAGTCAAGTGTAGCTTTCTTCTCGGCCGAGCCACTGTCATCCCGCTTGTTTGACATTCTTCCCATTATAAAATGAACGACGACGCAGTGGGGCCGCCGATACGATTACAAATGGAATTCCAAAAGTTTAATTATATTACGAGATTAGATTTTATGATTTTCATGATTCCCGATGTTGTCGGCTAACGAGACGGGATGAAAAACGATCTCGTTACTCGCAGCGGCGCATGAATAAGTGCAATTTGCGTAAGTGTCCCGCGTCTAATTCACCTACACGAGGTTAACACCGGGGATTGTGTCGGAGCCTGGAGCTACCATCAATTTCGCTAATGGTTAATCAATAAACAAGCAAGCCGCGAGTATTCTATTGAAGGGCGTTGCACGCGTGTTTCTATGGTTTCGGTCCACTCAGAGAGGACCAGCGAGAAAGACGGTAAAATAAGCTGTGCATTCGTGGCGTGAACGAAGCGTAAGAAAATAAACACCTGTTCGTTGCGCGTAGCACACGAGGGCGCATGAATGCTAGGAAAATGAGATACGGTCGAAGAGTGGAGAAAGGAACCCGAAGATGCGAGAGGCAACGGGAAGAGAAATTATCAGGAAGAGAGCCGCTATTTGTTATCAGTACGAAGTAATATAATGGCTCATGTGGCTGTTGATTGATGCGGCCACATTTATTTAGCTGCATTCAGGCCGATCCATATTCACGGAAGCATAATTTAACTTCAGTCGTTCTTTGTTGCTCGGAACGGAGACCAAGTGAAAAATTATACCCATCGATGTTTACTCTGAGTAACGAGTAACAGTGGAAAACAGGTGAGCCAGGACTCTCCGAAATTCATGTGCTTAAAGGGTTACACTTCGAACGCGGTGTAATAAGACAGAATGTCAATGTTGTCTACTAAACTGGCCAAAAATATGCGTTCGCCCCATTCGATTCTACGTTTCTATTCCTCACAGAATTTAGACAAAATTCGTTTTAATATTCACTCTCCTGGTTCAGGGAAGCAAAAATCGTAGTTACTATGGATTAGATTTTAAGCAATTTTATGTCAAAGAAAGACTGTTCTGAATAAAATAAGAGCCATAGTGGCCTGAAATGTACCTTGAATTCAACACTAAAACCCTCGGTCGATTGACAATCTCATTTTCGAGATATCGTCAGTCAAAATTCGCATACTATAGTTCATCACTGGGGTAATAGTATATTAGTATTATCATAAAAAAGATACCTTCTTTCAACTATTGTAATTAGACTAGTAATAATAAATACTTGAAAAATGTGATGAAACGAGTGTAGATCTAAAACACTATTATTATAGCATATTAATTATTATAATAAAGCGTGATTTTGAGATTATTCACCACCTCGTTATGGATTAATGTTATTCTAAATGTTAAAAGTTTTAACATTTCTCCCAGTTACTATAAAAAGTTCGATAGATGCAGAAACGTTCAGCTTTAACAAACCGATCATACGGGTGTGCATTTTTTCGAATGTAATTCTTAATTTTATAAAATAATACAATAACCAAAATTCATCTTCTTTCATATACGATTTTTTAATACAGAAGTCTTATATTTATAGTTGTTCATTTTTAAGCTTTAGTTTGGCTAATACCGTAGAGTAATAACTACTTTAAAAATAAATGCAGTACTCTCTGATTGAGACCAGGCTTGACCACACATATCCGGAGAAATAATTGCTCGTCATGACAAGACTTGAGACTCGCGTGGAGCGAACACTTCCAAGAATTAGTGAGGATAACACGCGAACACGTATCCGGCGTCTACCGTAATTATCATTGGATTTCCAGTAACATGAATACGATTAATTACACACTAACGTATTCTATTATCGGTGAAATGTCTTTGTAACTGTACGAAACCGACATTCCGCGAAGCGAAAAGTATATATCTTGCTGGCACGAGTGAGGAACGAGTCCACTGGTGGGAGAGAAGAATACAGTTAAGATTACAAACCGACATGTGAATGGATCGCGATCATAAGAGCCTCCTAAGGAGTCGTTGACATGAAGCAGTTTATAAGTAGAATGACGTGTACGGTGCACACTGTGTTACGCGAGGAGAATCGCTTATCGCGCGGAAGCAACCAGTGGTGCAGTTTCCACGTGGCCTTATGACAGCTAGTCTCGAAACGATTAATATCAGCCAGACGTAAACGTTGTATGCAGGGGATTTGAGAACGGGAACTAGGAACCCTTGCCACTCGACGGTGATAGCTAGCAAAATACATGTGCAAGTGGACGAAACGAGTGCTGATAGATTAAATATACAAGCAAACATGACTACTTCGACCTGATTATGTTTGTTTATGATCCTACATTATTATATCCTAGTATTCGATAAAGACTACAAGCTTCTTAAATAATCCCAATGCTCCGCGTCACTCTTCGGTGAATGAAATCAAACAGCTATGAATTGAATCTTTTTTTTAAAGCGTTATCACGTATCGAAAAATTTATATACAAATAATTTTAGTATTGTGTTGGTTAAAAAAAAATATTTTAATATTTCACATTTTTATATCATCGAATGAGGGGAGCAGTGTTGGACACAAATAGTATCGTGTTGGTTAAAAAAAAATATTT